TCAGGAAATGTTCCCAACTCATCTACAATTTGAATTTATCAAATTCAGCCCCCCGTTATGCGTGGTGACTACGCACAGCCCCGTGAAATTTTTTGGCTGCAGTTTGGGTAACGCAGGAACTAAGAAAGCTGGGAATCTGGGATTTCAAGGGAGTGTTCCCTGTCCAACTATAGCGTGAATAATTAAGTTCCCGAAATTCGAGCAAGAAATTCGAGGACCAGTATGTACAAGAGATTTCTAGCTAGCGGAATTTCGAGTAATCTTATTACAGAACGAAACACTGCAAAAACCTATGATCGCACGGGGTCCCCCAGTACGCATCACCAGTGGTCTTGCTTGGATAACTGAGGAGGGAAGAATTCATATCGGAAGAAATGCTTCTAGGTTTACCCTGTATCTAGATTTATCCTGCGCAACTTGTTACAAAAGCGCTGTATGAAACATAGCTTTCTGACGGGTCTGCTTTTGGAAAAGGTGGAGTATGTCTGCCGAAATCTTGCGTGAACCTGTGCCTCATCATTCTCCCCAATTGATTATTCTCTGTTTTACTGGAGTTTTTTTCTGTATTTATGAATGTTAAGATCACGCGAAAGCTAAAGAAGTACTTTTTAGCCAGCAGCATACTGATTTTGGCGGATCTTATGCTAGTTTTTTGCATCATTGCCTAAAAAAGACGGCCTATGGCTCATGTTTGTCGTGGAGTGTCCTCGTTCATTCATTTCTAGCTTAGGAACGCTTTGTCGTGAGGCTTTTATTGTCCTTTAAGGAATCCTGCTATTCCTCGTCTTATTCTTTAACAAATTCTATATAGTGCTGCTTCTGCCGCGGGAAACGTACAAAAAACCGATAGAAAAGAAGCCACTACAAAGAAGAAGATGCATACTGGATTTGGTAAGCAGCCAACAAAAAAAGATGTAGCGTGCTTTGTACGGTAGATACACAGTAAATGTATTGCCAGACTGGTCCACGAAGCAAATGGGCAGGTGGTACAGTGGCAGCGCGTTGTGTGCAGATGTGAAAAGAGGTAGTTCGACTCCCTCCCTTTCCAGAATCCTTTCTGAAAGGGGCTTTGTTCATAACAACTTTCACAGTATTTCTTTGATACTGGATGCTGGTCTTAGGCATAATCATTAAAGACTAGATATTAGCTAATAGTGTAAACATTAGGTCATATTTCTACATACATTTTATACAAAGCTAAAATTGCGCGATTCAGTAAGAGGACTAGATGCTGGGGGAGCCAGGCTGTGGTTAACAATCAAATATAATGTGGTGCTGAGCTGTTGGACTTTTCTAAACAACAACAAATTATATTTGTTCTTGTCATAGTTTTAATTCGCGCATTTGAAGCAGAAATTGAACAGGTTACGTGTGTCACTGGTCTGTTCCATCTCTGGTTACTAAAAGATAAATCTCTAGTTCAGTTTACTTCCAGGTGGATGCGACTGCTTTTGGCAACTTGGCGCAAATATACTATACGCCACTCAACACCGACGTGTTGCGGAAATACATGGACGAAAGTACACCAAACCTAGTAGCATTTCTGGGACGAATGCGTGAAACGTACTGGAAAGATTGGGATGAGGCGTGCCGAACACTCTCGCTTGATACGCAGAATACCGCGCTGTCCAATGCCGAGACTAATAAGTGACTTAACAGTGTTCATTCCCTTAATTGTAATTAATTAAATTTGCTCTATGAAGAAGGCAGCTGGTAGCAAATGCATGCAAAACAAGGATGATGCTGTAGACAGCAAATAGTCAGTACGGTCACGGATCAGTAAGCTCAGATCTCGATGCTTTCACCCTTCTGA